TCAAACAAAATGTAAGATTTTATACTCGCTCTCTTGGCTTGTGAGGGATGACTTGAGATTTTAGACACGGAGGGAGGACGTACGAACGTTAGTTTTTATTTCTTTTAGACAAACGTTGCTTTAAATGTTTCACGGCTGAGTTTTGGATTTAGGAATAAAGTTTGGTTTGGATTCAAGTTAACACGTAAGGCTAATGTTATTCAAGATCCTGGTGAAGGAAAGAAAAGGTACAAATGTGTGTTGAGGTGTGCGTTCCTCATTTAATGTGTCCCATCCTGTGATCTGATGGTTCCTAAGAGGCCGCCCGCTGAGGCTTTGCTCAACAGCTCTTTGTAAACTGAGCGACTGGAAGAGACCTCCAGTTTTATAAATGCACAGAAAAGCACTGTCTTCTTCCTGATGCACGCACACGCACGGGCACGCACGCACGAGGGAGATACAAATCTTGTCAAGAGCTGAAGTTCTGTCCTGTTTTATGCTGATGATCATGAAATGTTAGTGAATCCTCACTTTAAAAAATAAATAAAATAAATTAATACAATAAATGAATGAAAACTTAAATAAACTAGAACAATGCATTTTACCAGGAAGTGCAGAATGAATGCTGAGCGCCGAATATTACTAAAGAAGCTGAAACTGAATTTTTTAAGCTTAAAGAAGCTGAATGCTAGCTAAAAGCCAAACGTAGCTGAATGATTGGTGGAGGGTAAAAGTTGCAAAACACTAGCTAGAAACCAAAAGTAGCAGAAGGTTAGCTAAAGTTGCAAAACAGCAAGTAACCCTAACAAAAAGAGCAAATATGCTAAAGCAGATTTCCAAGAGATCAATGTTCTCAAAGGAACTGAAGAGATCTCAATGCTTTTATTTCTTTTGGAAATGGTTGCAAATACAATTACATATTTTAAAAAGTATAAACTATACAAATACAGTAGCCTCTTGCTACTTTGCAGGTTCGTTTTTTGCAGACTCGCTCTATTGTGGATTTTCAAAATAAGAGTAGACATGACACACAACCTCCTGATTGATGGATGAGCCGCACGATCGGCATGAAATATTTATTTAAAATAAATTATTTTTAATTATTTAACACCTGCTGCACATTTGTGCAGCCCACACTGCAGGATAAACTTCCTGCTGCAGCTGATCAGCTGATCTCCGTGCAGAGCTGAGAAGTGGGCGTGGCCAAGAGCACTTGCAGGTGGCAAAGAGCAGAGAAGGCAGGAGCTGAAATCATGACAGTCTGTCTCTTTTAGAGCGTTTAGAGTTTAGAAACGTTGTTTAGAAACTTGTAAGCGTGTTGGAAGGGTTTAAAACACCTTTATCTATCTATCTATCTATCTATCTATCTATCTATCTATCTATCTATCTATCTATCTATCTATCTATCTATCTATCTATCTATCTATCTATCTATCTATCTATCTATCTATCTATCTATCTATCTATCTATCTATCTATCTATCTATCTATCTATCTATCTATCTATCTATCTAT